TTCAATAAAAATTTGAGGGAAATTGATAGGGTGAATTTTCATTTCATGCCAACTTTAAACTAGTTTCAGAAGATGTATAGCATGTTACACTGGACGACACTGCTGTCACTGCTTCAGGTTTCATGTCAGCTGCACAAATCCTCTCAAGACTGCAGCCTTATGTGGAGTTTTTTATTTATTTAGTAACATAACACCAAGAAAAATACACACAACACTATACACTATGAGTATGGTTTCAACGTACAAGAAAAAGTTATCTACTGACTTATATTAGCCATGGATTTCTACAGTGAGTTTTCATATAAGAATCAAACACTTTAATTCATGGAATGAACTGAATATGAAGAATAAACCTCACATACCAAAACATTTGCATTTATAACATGATACATAATTAGCCCTATAATAAAACTATATTAAGAAACTCGACATCTGAGCAGTTATATTTACTTGAATCCATGAATACGTAAAAAATAATAAAAATAATAATAATAATTGTTACTATTTTCTCACACTCGTGTTGTTTCAAACCCGTAGCTTTCTTTCGAGGAACGCAAATGAAGAAATATTAAGGAGGATGCTAGTGACAGACAGCTTTTCATTTTTAATACATCTTTTTCCAGACAATAAATGATGACTGAGACTGTCTTTCTGTCTAACATCTCCATTTGTATTCCACGTAAAAAAGAAAGTCAAACGGGTTTGACAGACAATGACTGAGTAAATAATGACAGGACATTCATTTTGAGTGAATGTTATGGCTGACACCGCGTGAAGTCTCGATTTTATAGTTAAACGTATCAGCTGCACGTTTGCATCTCACCTGCGTTCTTACCTGTACGTGTTCACAGCGTTGATTCCTCGGACGCAGAACGGTGAAACACCGCGACCACAAACACGACAACGCTCTGTTGAGTTAAACAACTGAACTCGAACGCGACACTGACTGGTGTTGCTCTCAACACCTTCAGTATCACCTGTGCTTACGGTCCTCGCGCTCAGGTACAGGCCCCGCGTCACGCATTCCGCGCGAGCGAGGTGAGCACATTAGTCAACAGAAGTGAGACAACTGCTTTTCTCATTCGCATGATAACCCGGATGAATGCTGCAGAGCGGCATCTGAGAGATGGCGCGTTGATTTCCTAGAAAGATTACATAATCGATTAAGCGCACGCACTGCAGTAGGGGAATAATGCAGATGACAAAGCGTTGTCAAGGTAAAAGCGAGTGCTTCACCCCGGTTGTGCGCGAGCTGTTACTTGGGAAACAGAGACATCGCGTGGTCGCCTGGGGATGCTTATGCATCTATGTAGATTACATCTCAATTTAGACTTTAAATAATGTTATAGACCCTCGTTTTATGTTTGTGTATAAAACCATTCATGCATGCATGCATGTCAAAGGTTAGAACTCACTTAATTTTAAAACGTTTTTTTTCTATACAATTAGATGTATAGACAAATACAGATACCCGAGTGTTGTACTAATAGGAAACATGGACAGTTTTAATATTCTGTATTTTAATGTCATTATGTCAACTCCTACCCTTGTTTCATTTTAGCCATTAGAGGGGAAAAAACAATGATTTACCAACAAACTGATTTAAATCAGAACAGCAAATAAAATTGAAGGCATACAAATATTGTACAAATTAGTGCTGTCAAGCGATTAAGCATGATTAACCACATTAAGAATACAAGTTTTTGTTTACATAATATATGCCTTTGTACTGTTATGAGCAGTGTTGGGGAAAGTTACTTTTAAAAGTAATGCATTACAATATTGCGTTACTCCATAAAAAAAGTAACTAATTACGTTACTTAGTTACTTTTTATAGAAAGTAGTGCGTTAGGTTACTGTTGCGTTACTTTTGAAATCTGGACAGGGCTTGCTTGTTTGTTTTTTTTTCAAATATATACATGCATGTTTGTGTATTTATATATACATAATAAATATACACATGACAGTACACACGCATATATCATGTAAACAAAAACGTTTATTTTTGATGTGATTAATTGAGATTAATCGTATGACAGCACTAGTACAAATACATGAAGGCTAGCAATTAAAAAAAATCATAACACGTGACATTGTTAGTCATTTTCTAGTAGGTCACAACATTTACATTTTTTTAAACATGCAAAGGAAAGGCTTGTGTGGATGAATTACATTTATTGACATGATCACAAATCTAATTATAAGCCAGACATTTTTTTCTTACCTCAAATTTAAAAAAAATTTCCTGTAAGTCTTACTTCTAATTAGTTAAACGTATGGTGTTATTACTGACTGTCACTCCCTATACTGTACTTATTTACCTCTATTGCCATTTATAGTAGGCTTACAGACATACTTTTAAATAAAAGCACAAAGCGCAATAAATACACTGTAAAAAAAAAATTTCCCTTTACATGCTACTATAGATTTAACAGTTTCAGAGCTACTTTTCCTGTAACAGCATCACAAATCTTCTTGAATTGTTCTTAGAATGGTCTATATGTTGACAGGGTAGCAAAGATATTTAATGTAAATTTTGCACAAGCAATTGAGAAAGCAAAAAATTGTGACTATGCACACATTTTATTTTCTGGCATTTAGTGTATTTAATACATAAATCTTCCACGAATGCATGTTAGATTCCAACCTCTCCTGCTGTGGTTTCCTGGTTATTGATGTTGGTAAATTGCAACAAAAAAAAAATTCAATTCGACACAAGAGAACAGAGGCTGCACATGCGTTACAGGTCAGCTTTACATTGCTATGGCAACAGATAACAGCCCAACCTTATAAAACAAACTACAGCACACAGAAACAGCAACCTGTTATTCTGTCATCTAACCACAACTGCTCTAAACAAGAGTAGGGTGTCAAGAAATTCCTTTTTATAATGAACAGGTTTTCATCCTGACAGAAAAATAGCAATCAAAAAACTTATAGTATATAATCATAATAATTCATATGTTCCAGGCCCAAACAACAAGGCCTTTGAGAAATGATTGTTTTCTTTCAGTAATGATATCACTACTCTCCACTTGCATACTGTGTATATTTAGTAGAAACATCTGTCTTTGGACAAAGTTAAGGAGAAATCCCTTAAGAGTGGATATTTTCTTTCATTTAGAATCATTCATTTAAAATGAGTACAGCTGAATCACTCACTAGGAGACCAGAAAAGGCTAATTTAGTCCCTTGTCTCCTGATCCCCGTCATTTGTAGTGTGATGGTCAACAGCGGGAGTCACCTTTGTCATTTATGTTAAGTGCTGACCATTATGTCCTTTGAGGACTGGGAAATTAGTTTCTCATCAGGGGGTCAATTTAGGTAAGAAGTCTGACTCACTGAAAGCCAATGAATGACAATAAACATTCTGTGTTCCTGTATTATGTATATATATACAGGAGGGGGCAGTATGAGCAAGTAAAAGCATTTGGAAGTAACAGCAAATATTTCCCTACTGCCTCATTAGCTGACTGAACTAAGAGGCGTGATTAATTTTGATCAGTTAGCTGTTTTTGTTTATGAAAACTTTTCAGGAATATGTTGGAATTTTCATACACGCCATTGATTTTCATACTCTAGAACAGCCAATAGACTGGAATGTACTTTTTATTTTTTTTTCTCTTTCTGTTTGAGGGTACGCCAGGTCCAGTGAGTCAAGAAAAAGACTCAGCTACCTTTGTAGTTCACAAAAGAGAGAAAGAGAGCGAGAGAGCCAGAGCCTGGAGTAATGTGCTTCAGGGCTTGTTCACAGACAGATTCTTACTTATGAATTTGCGGAACATAAAGTCCTTTCAAATACTCTCCATAGTGCGGGACCCTCATATTGAGCGGGTTGTCATTGTCTGTCTGGTTTCCCTGCTGAAAAAAACAGCTAAAACCAGCCTAAGCTAGTTGGCTGGTCTTAGCTGGTTTAAGCTGGAAGTAGCTGGTTTTAGCTGGTCTCCCAGCCTGACCAGCTAAAGAAGTGGTCAAAACCCTTCTAAACCCAGCCTGCTGACCAGCTAAAACCAGCTAACCAGCTTAGGCTGGTTTTAGCTGTTTTTTTGTTTGTTTGCTTGTTTAGATGAAACATCACTGTACACCAGTAAACATACTGACAAATCATTATGTATCAATGGGATTCATGTTTACTGACCTAATCATTCGGACAGTTTTAATATTTTATCAATCAAATCATGCGTATTTGTTTAGAATCAGAACTAGCGATGCAGATTTGCAAATGAATCCCCCTTTGCAGTCAAAGGGGTTTGCGAAAAGGTCTGAAATTGTTCGTGATTCAGTTTGAATTATTCGGACAGTTCACAGGCCCGACAAAAAAATGACGGGATATTTTGTAAGATATAAAACAAAAAAAAGCGCAGAACAAGGTGGATGTTAACCTAAAGAGGCCTACAGACCTCATGCGTCAGAGAAACAAGTGCACCGCCATCTTTAGAATTTTGTCTTTGAACTTCCGTTTTTGCGGTAGCTCTGTATATTTCTGTAGCATCGCTGCTGAAGAATTAGCTGGTGAAGTGGATTTACTTATTGTTGAGTTAATGAAAGTTGTCATGAACATTGTAATGTTTCGAAGCGGATGTCATGACAAATGTCAGTAGACCTGGAAGATTTTCAAACGAGCGGTTCATTCATAAATTCGTACGACTTTATGGAAATACAAACCGGAAGACAGAAGACAACGAGCGCAGTGCTAAAAAGGGGCAGGGCTACATTTGATCCTGAAATCTGATTGGCTGAGAGTCATTCCGGGATTGCTGATGTGTGTCTGCTCGTGTGATATTGGCCAAACCATTGTAGGAAACAAAACTTGCAAATGTCTTCTATTGTTTGTCAATGATGAAGCTGCTTTTAATTCCGTGTGGCGATTGTAAATGATTCTGTGCTGGCGGTAAAGACGATTTATATCCATTTACATGTCCAAAATACTATAAAAAAATTTCCACAGGCTATAAAATCCCCTGGTCATTGTTAATATGAATATGTCCACTTTCTATTTGCTTCTGTCAGTTTTTGTCACATTATGTGCCCAAACACATAAATACTAGCACACGAGAATCAACCGGCGCTAAGTGAGTAAACAGTGAACTCATTCCTCCAAGGCTGGGCGTTCAGATTGATTGGCACTGAAGTATCGGAAAATACATCACAGCGGCCTTTTATTCACCTGCCAGTCAGAGGCACTGTGCACAACCTCCTCCTGGCTGTCTCGATTCCTGTGCAGATGTGCTTGAAGATTGGTAGAATGTCCCTGGCTCACAATTTCCTTACCTGAGTGATTTCTCTGTGAGTAAGACTTGGTCAGATTGGAAAGGGGTCATAAGTGAAAGAGAGAATTGGAGCAGGAAGAGTTAGGGGTTGTTGGGTTTGAGAGTAAGGCTCCATTTCATATTACCACAAGCAAAATAATCTCTTGGCTGGCAGAGACGTGCAGGGCTTCACCCAGAGCCCATTAAAACATGTCAACTGTGTCATTGATTTTAGTTCAGTCCACTATTGATTGGCGTCTAAGCCCAGTCTGGCCACATTTGCATAGCTGCGTCCCATAAGATGCTAATTGGTAGTTCGCCAACAATCATGGCTGAATGATGAGAACGATCATTCTGGGTTGATGTGAGGCAATTGTGGTTTGTTTGCAGCTAAGCGGTATCCATGTCAAATAAAATATTGCTGGTGTGCTGCCCATGGATTTTGCTTATATAAGTCACACGTTTATTGCCTTGTCTAATTGTATAATCGAGATTCAGCACAACACTCTGTCTCTAAGTCCAAATTTAGGTTTGTTGGGAAACCCGGCCGTGCATATCATGCCTCACATTGGTTTGGCTGCGCTAACAAACATGTTCTCTCTAATAAAATCAGGGATGGCAAGATAGAGGGGAGAAAAGAATGAACAAATAAATGAAGTGGAGTTCAACAGTCAGAGTACTGGTGAAAATGCTTTCATTTATCATGATCGTACATCTTAAATATGTAAAGGATAATACA